GTTAATAAGTTAGATTTTATTTTGAGGTGAAAAGGCCCAACCGAAGCCCATAAAATGGGTCTCTTAACGCCCTCTGTTTTTCTTCTCTGGGGTATATATAAGACCTAAAACGATTATAGAGAAGAGAAAGAAAAAGCATCCGCGAGTATGTCCGCGTATGAGATTGAATATAACGATGACTATTGCCGTCAGGTGGCGGAGTACTGGCGTAAAGTGGAGGAATCCGGAGTATGTAATTCTTTCCCTTAACTGTTTGTTTAGAATTTGATCGATGATTGTGAATCGAATCCGATTAATTGAATCATCGGTGTAAACTTTCATCTTTTTTTTTTATGGATTTTCTTGTCCCCTAATAATAGGGTTTCGACATTGAGGGTCTCAAAGGTATGCCTGGGTTGGTGTCCTACAACTGTCAAGGTCTTAACGGTCTCACCATCCCTTTACGTCCCTTTGTCATCCTTTCTGCTAGGTTGGGTCTTCAACGTTACAATATGGACAAGGTAAAAAACTCCATCTCTTCCTTCTTGACACCATATATATGGTCCTTGTTGCGTTATAATACTTTTTTCAGGGGACAAACTTCGACCTCCATTGTCTAATCAAATTCAACATGGTGCCGAGTCCAGTTTCTACTTACTACATAACTCTGGCTGCACGCGATACAGTTACCCGCCGTCCGATGCAAACCTTTCAGGTTCGAGTTGATCAAAATCAACTTGGCCCTTTGGATATCACTTGTTCTGTTGCTAGAATTAAAGGTAACTACTCTATTTTTTTTATTGTTGTTTCTTTTTATGTATACATACAAGCTGTGTGATTACATATAATGTTGCACAGGAGAGACCACCGATAATAGCCCCTTCATACCTATGCATGGCACTCGTACGGTATTGCCTGATTGGCCCTCAGATGATGATGCGTTCAATGATATACAACGCTTTTCCTTTGTAAGAATGGTTTCTACCATCATCAGTTTTGTTTTGTTTATGATTTAATATTATGTTTTTATTGCTCATGCAGGTGGAGGGATCAGAGTTGCGATCTGCTTATTGGATTCGTATGTATCTGCAACTTGCCGTCTGTGCAAAGTATAGGATATTGATTCAAGAGGTAATTTTTTTTTGTTTGTGTTTTGCATATTATTACTGCACATACTATGATTTTAATAACTAATTAACATGGTCTTGTTTAATTGCTGCCTGCAGACAGATCTCTGCAATTTGGAGATTGTGAAAGTGGCAATAGAAACTAGTGATGGAGATGTGAATGAGAGACTCAAGGCCAAAAATGCAATCTTCTACATAGCCTTTAAGGGCTTAGCCACCAATATAGCTTTTAAGGCATCAGCCACCGATGGTGTTCTTGGTAAGCATGTTGTACGCAAAGCTATCATTAAAAGATCCGTCGATGAGCGTACAGGAAACTTGTCTCTCCTGGGTGAATTGGACAAGGAAGAAGAAGAGTTGAATGCTATGACTTGGCAAGAATTCCATAAGCAAGGTCTGCAGAACAGAAAACGGATGACTTGTGCAAGGAAGAACAAGAGTTGAATGTTATGACTTGTCAAGAATTCCATAAGCAAGGTCTGCAAAACAGAAAAAGAAGCCGTTTAGGCGACTCGTTGTTGTTTTGGATTTACCTTTTATTTTATTTTATGGGGTGTAATAAATGATAAACTGTATTAATGCTTGACTAAGTTGTTTGGATTTGCTATTTATTTTATTTTACTTTATCGGTTGTAATAATAATGATGAACTGTATTATGTTTGACTAAGTTGTTTGGATTTCTTCTACTCTTTTTTTTGTAATGTAGGAAGAAACCTAACACAAAACATGAATCATGTAGTGGTGTATCATTTGATTTGGATGATGAAATGAAATATATTGATTCTCACATTGTGTAGACTGTAGAGTAACTTACCTAGTAGTAGACAAAGAAGCATACAAAATCATTGGAACAAGTTTGCTTCGACTACAGGTCCAATGGCTTGTTGTTGGAGAGGGAGAGGAATAAGAGGAAATACTTGACTCTCTAACTCTCTCTCTTTCTTTTGGTTTCCTGACTTGGGCTCAGACTCTTTCGCTCTCCCTCTCAGCTTCTCCAAAGCTTTTCTCCTTTCTCCCTACTCGAGCTTCTGCGGCTTCACTGTGGAGAAGAAAGTTGATCCCCCCCCCCCCCCCCGAGAACTCCAGCCGTTAGATAAAGCATCGTGTTTCTTCTGGAAACGTCTTTGGAATCAAGTACTTGAAGCTTCTGGTGTTCCTTAATGTTTGCTTCGAGTAAAGGAGACTGGCAAAAAAAGAAAGGCAAAAGAGTCTTTTCAGAGCTATGCACAAACTAAGAAAATTGATGCTTGCAATGCAGACTCAATAGTACCAGTCTTCTTCTACTGACCATGAAAACAGCACAAGTAATGTACATATATGTAAAGATTGTCTGCACTAGTTTATGGCCTGACGAAATTCATACAAGCAGACCAAAATTCATAACCACAAACTAGATAGTATAGAGAAAATCGAAGAAACTAGGGAAAAAACTCAAAATCTCAACAAATGTTTGATGAATTTAGAGATTCTGTACACGAAACACTAGTTGGAAGGGCATATAACAGCTGAATTTTCTTAACGTCTTCCCTAATCAAATAATCCCTAATAGGTCAACCTAAACTCAACGGCCTCGGATTCATTCAGACAGAAAGCAAAGCATCTTTCTCCAGAAAAAAAAAAATTAGTCCGATCACCAACCTGAGCAGAGACTACACTTGTGGCTAAAATCACCCGGCGCCGGGAAAATTTAGCTGATTCTCCGGTTATCGGAGAAAATGATATTACAATAGGCGACCAGATTGAGCTCGATCTCACCATCTGTCTTCTCCGGTAGATCGGTAACCAGTGGTGGAACTAATCGGTAATCGGAGAAAGTGTTTTCGTTTATTTCAGAAATGTAAAAAGAATGACGAGTGGTGTATGTGGTGGGCTAAACACAACTTGGGCCTCATTTTGCACATAAATGGGCTTCGTTTTATACGTTGACTTGACTTGTCTCGAAAATTTAGAGACTCAAATTACAAGATTTCTAGCAAACAAAAATCACAAATTCTCTCATCAGCATTGACATTTTCCCGGAAACGTGAACTAGTAACAAGACTCTTCCTCTCCTTCTTCAACGACTCTGCTTCTTTATGGAAACCACTTGTTTTCTCAAGACCAGACAATACAACATTGTATGTTCCAAGCGAAGGCATGATCTTTCGCTCTCTCATCTCTCCCATCAGCGCCGTGTACGCAGCTACGCCCTTTTCATCGTCCGGAAGTAAGTTGAAAACTTCTGCGGCTAAGCGAGGTCTTCTTTCAAAACCGAGCCTGTGGATCAATGTTGCTACTTGGTGACACACCAAGCGAGTGTTGGGATTTCACCATCTCTTTTAGCACTTCAATCACTTCGTTTGTTCTCAGAAAGATACCAATTAACACAAGATACGCTGTCTTCCCATTTCCGAGCTGTACTCAAGGGCTAACGATGCCCCCTCGGTTCTACAACGGTCACGGTTTGTTTTTACGATTGCTGAAACAACAAAAGAATCCAACTTTACGTTTCTATCTTTCATCTGGTGAAGTAGATGATCAAGTGCGACCAGATTCTGCTTCACCAATTAAGAGAACGGAGCTGATAATTCTACTATCACCTGAACTTTTCGTGTCATCAACTTGGGCTGTATGAGTCTCAGCAGAAATATGCGAATTCACTTCTCTTAACAAATCATCCCTTTAGCCTGCGGCTTTCAGGGTCTCTGAAGTCTCAAGAAAGACAGGGTAACGAAGGACAATCCCGCTTTCCTTCATGTACTGAAGAATTCTAACTATGAAAGATGTTTCACTGAATTTACAGGCTTTCCTAATCAGAATATTGCAAGCTGCTTTATCTGGCTGCACCCCTATCTCTTCTTGCATTTTAAAGAAAATGTCTAAGGCTTGCTCACATTTTCCTGCAAATTAAACGAAGACATTATCACCATGGCTACAAAACCAATATTCAGAAAACAAATGCACATACTAACAACATTATACTCTCCACGGATTTATTTGGATTATCCACTTAACGGTAACTGTTCCTAGACAGAGTCTCAGAGATGTCACGTTTGTTTTAAAATCAATCATCTAAAACAGAACAAAAGTTGTCTACTTTCAGCTAGGCATTTTAACAAACACTTGGTGTGCATTAGAGTGAAGCTCTCCTGTTCCTACAAGAAACTCCATAAATACCGTATAAGTGTGACAATTCGGAGAAATCCGTGACCGTAACATATCCTTGTACACCTCCGTCGCTTCTTCCACTCTCCCATCGGCGAAAAGTATCTTCATGTAAGACACGTCGGTATTATCTCTTATCTCCTTCCACAAACTAAATCGCAAGCCCACACCTTTAGAGGGCTTTCATTTAGGCCCATTAGTTTGGTGTATATAAGCAGACTTAAAATTTAGAAAACGGATCGAGGTGAGTTTGTTTAGGGTTTAGAGGATGCAGGGGAATCCGGCGGCGAAGCCTGAATACGCGACAGGTAAAATAGCGGTGTGGTGGGACATGAACGACTGTCCGATTCCGGAGGGTTATGATGCTCGTCGGGTCCGTCCGAGTATAGAAGGGGCGTTCAAGAAACTTGGCTACTTTGGTCCCGTCTCTATCACGGCCTATGGCGACCAACAAAAAAACCCTAATTACATCCTGGGAAGGCTCTCTTCCACTGGAGTCTCTGTTGCACATGCCATCTACGGTTAGTAGTAGTCCAATTGATTGATTGTTATGGACCGACTTTGGTCTGAAATGAAATCTCTGCTTCTTTTTATTTGGTCTGAAATGGCGAAGTGAAAATCCTCCTCCGGCTACAATGATGCTCATATCCGATCACGTGGAACCACTCTTGAATTTTCATCGGGACAAAGTGCCGAAATACGACATCTATATGGGTTGGGATCTGGCCCGACTACAACAAGAGACGAAATACAACCTCTTTCTGGCTTATTCATTTACTTCTGAATTGATTCCAGTCCTGGACACTTCTGCTGAGTGGTTTACTACGAGCCTCCAACGACGGCAGTGAATTATCTGCCACTCAATTATCTGCCGGAATGTTTTTTTGCAAATCGTGCTCTTTCGATTGCCAAAGCCTGGCGAGTTTCACAAAGCATCTCTCGAGTAGAAAGCATCAACTGGAAGTAAGCTCTCTTTATATCTCTCTCTGCTTGCATCAGTACATTGAGTGTTTATCTTTTTCCACTGTCAAACAGGAGGTTGCAAACCGTGGGAATGGACAACCTGACCCTGTAACGAGGATGTGGGGAGGGAACTACGAGGCAAAGCCTGAATACGCCACAGCTCAAATAGCCGTGTGGTGGGACATGAGCGATTGCCCGATTCCGGAGGGCTATGATACTCGCTGGGTCCGTCCGAGTATAGAAGGGGCGCTCGAGAATCTAGGCTACTGTGGTCCTGTCTCCATCACTGCCTATGGCGACCACAAAGAAACCCCTGATCACCTCCTGCTAGGGCTCTCTTCCACTGGAGTCACTGTTGCACATACCATCCTCGGTTAGTCCAATTTTCTCTGTGTTTAAATTTCCTTTTGCTGAAACCGAAAGCACTCATGTTTTCCTTTTACTGAAACAGAACGCACAGGCTCAATCATGTTCTCAGATCTGTTTCGATGGCAATACCTGAATCCTCCTCCGGCTACAATGATGCTCATATCCAATGAGGTGGAAGATCGGTTCTCCAAACCTCTTGCCAGGCTACAACAAATGACGAAATACAACCTTCTTCTGGCTTATTCATTTAGGCCTTACAAAATGTCAGTCCTGGTCACCTCTGCAGAGTGGCTCTGGGATAGCTTACTGGCAGGTGTTCGTTTGTCCTCTCGTTATCCACTACTGTTGACATAAGTAACCTCCAATAATTACGCTGTATGGTTAAGTTTTTTCTTTTCCACAGTTTCAGAGACAAGAATACCCCTTCAGGAGTGCAGTCTCCAAGTATAAAAATTAAAAAGAAAAATTAAATAAATGGTAAAT